TTAGGTTCCTGTGAGCTTCAGGTCACTGGTATTGGCAAAGTGATGAATACTTACCTTTGTTTTACGTGTGTTCTGTTTGTTGCAGTTGCTAGGTGCTGTCAGATTGGTTCTGTCTCACAGAGACCCCATGTACCATAGAATGAAACGCTGCCTGCTCCTGCACTATCCGCACAATCATTGTTATTTTTGAGCCCATGGTTGCCGCCACTGTGTCAATCCATCTTGTTGAGGGCCTTCTCATTTTTCACTGACTCTCTACTTCACCAAACCTGAAGTCTTTCTCCAGCAACTGGTTTCGCCTGCTAACGTGACCAAAGTGTCTGAGAGAAAGTTTAGCCATGCTCACATCTGTGGAACATTTTGGTTATACTTCTTTCAAGACAAATTTGTGCATTGTTCTGGCAGTCCATGTATGTTCAATATTCTTCATCAACCCCATAATTCAAAGGCATCCGTTCTCCTTTGGCCTTCCAAATTCATTGTCCACTTTCACATGCATATAAGGTGATCGAAAATATTATGGCTTGGGTCAGGAGCACTTTAGTCCTCAAAATCGTATCTTTGCTTTTTAATACTTGTTGTTGTTGTTCATCTTTTTTTAAAATTATTTTATTGTGATTTGAGTGAAAGCTTACAGAGAAAATTCATCTTCCGTACAGCAGTTCACATACACTTTATCTTATGACATTGATTGTAATCTCCCACAATGCAACTGCCCTCCTCCCACTTCCTCCCCATAGCCACCTCTTCTCTGTGTCCTTCCCTCCCACGCACTCCTGCCCCCTGAGCTGTCTCCCTGTGCATACACAGCCCTTCTCCCATGATTGATCTCTCCAAGGAGTGTATCTTCCTAATGTAAATGTGCAGCTCATATGCCTGTCTTTTGTTTGGCTGGAAGCCACAGGAACAGGTTCAATTCCAGACCTGAAGGGAAGCTAGGGGCCATAGTCTTAGGGGTTCCATCAGGCTCTATCAGACCAGCAAAACCTGGTCTTTTTTTTTTTTTTTTAATGACTTTGAGTTTTGTTCCACATTGTGCTTTTTAACACTTTCAAGAGGTCTTTTGCAGGATATTTGCCCATTGCACTACATCATTTGATTTCCTGACTGCTACATCCATGGGCATTGATTGTGCATCCAAGTAAACTGAATTCCCTGACAACTTCAATCATTTCTCTAAGCTTATTGGTGCAATTGTGAGAATTTTTGCTTTATGTTGAGGTGTAATCCATACTCAAGGCTGTAGTCTTTGATCTTCATCAGTAAGTGCTTCAACTCCTCTTTGCTTTCAGCAAGCAAGGTTGTGTCATCTGCATATTGCAGGTTGTTAGTGAGTCTTCCTCCTATCCTGATGCCGTGTTCTTCTTTATATAGTCTAGCTTCTTGCATTATTTGCTCAGCTTACAGTATAGTGAAAGGATACAACCCTGATGCACACCTTTCCTGATTTTAAACCACATAGTATTTGCTTGTTCTGTTTGAATGACTGCCTCCTGGTATATGTACCGGTTCCTCATGAGCACAATGAAATGTCGTGGAATCCCCATTCTTCTCAGTGTTACTCATAATTTGTTATCCACAGTTGAGCACCTTTGCATAGGCAGTAAAACTCAGGTAAACATCTTCCTGGTATTGTCTGCTTTCAGCCAAGATCCATCTGACATCAGCATTTATATCCCTTGTTCCACATCCTTTTCTGAATCTGGCTTGAGTTCTTGGAAGTTCCCTGTCAATGTACTGCTACAACTCTTTTTGAATTATCTTCAGCAAAATTTTATTTGTGCTATTGTTAGACAGTTTCTGCCTTCTGTTGGATCAGCTTTCTTTGGAATGGGCACAAATTTGGGATCTCTTTCAGTCAGTTGACCAGATACCTGTCTTCCAAATTTCTTACCATAAATAAGTGAGTGCTTTTAGTCTTGCATCCGTTTGTTGAAATATCTCACTGGGTGTTTCTGCTTAAAGATACCTTATTTAACACATATTGTTGGTTCACTGTTGAATTCAAGGTCGGCAGCACCGTAATTCAGGTCTGAACAAAGCTGATCTAATTCTCGTAGTTTTTCCATAAGGCACATCACAGCCTTCTTGTGGTTGGCAGCACCGGCTGGCCCTTCAGATGGCCCTGGGGGCATGTTGGGCAGCGACAGCAGCAGGGAAGAGCACAGAGGGGATGGATGTGCACACAACAGACTCTACACAGGCACTTGGTTACAGTAGGAGAGCTGAGACAAGAAGACAGAATGCCACCTGTCCCGCCTCAGCCAGATGTGTGCACTGGATGGCTCAGACTTCTCCATCTCTGTGTGTGTCTGGAGGGGCCTTGGTGGCAGTGGTTAGAGTGCTGGGCTGCTACCCAAAAAGTCAGCGGTTGTAATTCACCAGCTGCCTTTGGGAGAAAGATGAGGCACTCTGCTTGCGTAAGGACTACCATCTTAGAGCTCTTATAGGGCAGTTCTACTTTGTCCTCCAAGGTGATGAGTTGGAATCAACGGTGGTGGGTTTGGTTTGGGCTTTGCTTCCATAAAGACTGACAGCCTTGGGAACCCTGTGGGACATTTCCACTCTACCCTATGGGCCACTGATTCACCATCAGCTCAGTGGCAGTGGGTGTGTGCACATCTGTATGTGGCTTTGCAAGGACCATGAGTATGGATTTTGGGTTACAAATAAATTTGAGTAGGTGATTTCACACATAGGGATTGACAGGGATCGACTAAGTATGTATGTATATACAGCCTGTTGTATGTGAAAAACTGTCCCGGGCACAGGGTTTTGTTGGGTATCCCTACGGTCAGTTTGGTATTTGGGACTGTGGGTTTAGGTTTTTGAAAACAGCGCCAGCAACCTTAGGGCCTCAAACATGGCCAGCTGTCTACCGCCTAGTTTCTCCAGAGCCAGTGTGGGGAAAGGAGATGGGGAGGTGGAGGATGAGTTGTGTCCTGACCCTGCCTGAGCTCAGGACTCTGTTCTAGGCAGTGGTGTCACACACTATCCCCCTTCCAGAGTTCTCCTGTGGCCCTCACACCGCACCTCATCTGTCAGGACATGAAGCCATGGTCCTCACTGAGGGCTTGAAAGTCAGACTTTAAGTCCCTAGGTCTGAGATGGGTCCCCAGAGTTTATACCCCTAACCCGTTCCCTGGGGGCACAGGTGCTGCAGGTGTGGCCCCACACGCTGGAAACAACTGATCTAAAGCCCTACACACACCAAGGGACACGTGTCTTGGCTTAACCAGCTGAATCCCACGTTGACAGTGTTACTCAGTGTTAACAGACGCCCCGAGGTCAGTTAGTGCTGTCCTGGGATAAGTTCCGACTGACTCCTCCCCCAGTACTCCCAGCCCCCCTCCAGGCAGAGCGAGGGACAGGGAAGCTCTCGGCCTTTAAATGTTGCCGTTTCAGGTGAGGACAATACTGACGTGGAATTTCACTGGAAAGGGGTGGGAACAGAACAAGAGACAAGGCCCAGGACAGAAGAGGACTGGCCTTGAAGGCTGGCTACGCAGGCCACAAAACCGGGCTCTTTTGTGTACTTTCCAAGTGGTTGATGCTTTCCAAAACTGAGGAAGCAAATGGCTCAGGCAGGGAGATGGCCTGAGGGTCCTTCTGGACAAATACCTGACAGTCTCTGAAAGGGACCTGTGTGCAGGGAGCCCTGAGGGCAGCGAGCAGATGCCTTCAGGGCCCTCACAGGCAGAGGCAGCAGACCAGGACCAGAGTCCAGAGCCCTTCGTGCTTCAAGCACTGTGACCAGATGGCGTGGATAGTCAGGTCACTTCCCCCAATCCCTGTAAATATCCTGATGAAACAGGCTGCTGGCATCAACAAGGGCATTGTGTTCCGGTCAGATGCCCCTCACTTGTCCCCATGTCCTGCTGGCACATTGTAAAGGGGCACCCTGGGGACCCTCCCAGTCTAGGCACCTGTGCTGCCCTAACAGGTCGGCACACCTGCTGGGAAAGGTGGGGATGACCTAGGCTCCGACTCTAGAGCGGGGACCCTCCACCACATACGTTCCGGGTGGGGTACGTGACCGACAACAAGATACCAAATCTGTCGGCCCTTTAGGTCCCTCCGAGCAGCATCCTCGGTACGTGGCTCAGTGCACAGCTCCAGTATTCTCACCTGGTCACCTGAGGTCGGACCCCAAAGACCACACAGTACCCGCTATGCGGAAGGTACAATACTGAAATCCACTTTATTGAGATGGTGTCAAGTCTCCAGTCACCAGTTTATGCCACTGCACAGAGCCCTGTCGTGGCTGACAGCCCGACAGCCTAACTGCTCTGGTTCATGATTTCACTCTAAGGGGACTCTCTGGTTGGGTCTGCCTGACGCAGCCAACACCTGCTGCATTCGCTGTCACCACGCTCCTTCCGTCTCAGACCCCGAGAGGGAGCGTGATGACCAGGCTGTCAGCCCCACTCAACTCTCACCAGGAACCGGCAGGCTCCCCACTCTTCTGATGTCTCAGGATCGATTATCCTCAATGACAATAGCTCTCCCAGGATAGCTGTCAACCTCTACAAATAAGTAACGGTATTCATATTCACCAGTCTCTGGGTTCTGAAAAAAAGGTGTTTTAAGGGGTGAATCTTATGCTCAAGGCTTTAAACAGTATGGAGTAGGTGTCCCGTGTGACCTCTTGACCCTAGGTGCACCACCCCCTGCCCCTCCCCCGTGCTGTGCACACAGCCACCCACACCTCCTACACTTCCAGGTGCACTGTCCCCCCGCCTCTACCCGCACCTCCCGGTGCATCGCTGTGCGCCCCGTCTGTGCGCACCCCCGCCTGCACCTCCTGGTGCACCGTCCCGCGTCCCCCAGTGCTTGCGCTGCCCCCCCGCACCTCCTGCACCTCCAGGTGCACGGTCCCGCGCTTCCCCGGCTCCGAGCCCTGGATGTAGAACTTCAGGCGCATGTGCCGCAGCCCGTCTTTGACAAACTCAATGAAACTGTCAGAAGACGCCGAAAGGACACACGTCTAAGTCCCTTCACCGAGCAACGTCCCCCAGCTTCCCACACCCAGCACGTGGCCGTACCTGACATGCTGTCGCCTCCCACGCCGGGTAGTCTCCCCGTAGCCTTTGATCGGCTCACCAAAAACACCTATGACCTGCAGAAGGGAGGACAAGGCTTCCTCAGCACGTGGCATGTTTTAAAAGCCTCCTGTGTTGGTGGGGGCAGGGGTCATTCTGACTGGTAGTGCCGCCATGTGGCAGAGCGGAACTGCCCCACGAGGTCCTCCTGGCTGTGGTCTCTCCTGGAGGAGGGCACCAGGCCTCTTTCCACAGCACTGCTGGGAGGTTCCAACTGCCAACCTTGGGCTTCCCGTCAAGCGCAAACTGTGTGCACCACTCAGGGATGTTTCTTCAAACCAAGTCATTCACTTTTGGGGGAACAGTAGTAGATATGCAAAAATCATCCTGTAAGTCATTTCTGGAAAGATTTCACGCAGAGATTAAAATAGGGAATGCATAACATTACTCAGAGCTTCAAAATGTGGGCTGATGTGACAGTACCCGCATTCCTCATTAAAAAAGAAAGGCCATAAAGCAAAGTGCCCAAGTATGTGTTTAACAATCCCTCGGCGTCTGTGTGAATATTCCCCAGGACAGTTAGCTAATGGGCTCTAGCAGTAACCAGCTGGCTGCCTGGTGGTGCAAAAGGTTAAGTGCACGACCACCAGCTGGAAGGTCGCCTCAGGAGGAAGGCGTGGGGCTCAGCTTCTGAAAGGTCGCAGTCCTGGAAACCCCTGGATCACCTCTAGTGCGCACGCGTAGCGTCGACAGGAGTTGGAGTCAGCGCAACAGGAACAATGGTGCTGGGAGCTAGGAGACGCACGTGATGTTTTAAGAAATTAAACATAATGAAAAAAAATCACTTAATAATGAGATATTTAAAACAAACCAGGTCTAGAGGCATGAACTGGTGATTCCTAATGGGAAACTCACAATGAAATGGAGTTTTTCATGGAACTTGAGACACAACCAGTCTGGAACCGTCTCTAGAAAACACACGATGTCGACCAAGACAAACACTGGTCCTGATGTAGAAGAACGTTATGTTCTCTGTGGAAGACCTTCAGGATCGTATTTTTCAGGCATAAAGAAGGTGTAATGTGCATGATGACAGAAATTGAACTGTGTGGCTGTGACAAAGGGAACAGACGTCCAAGTCACTGACTGCAGCCGATGAAACGGTCAGCATCGGAGCGTCACGTCTATCCTTAGGCAGGCCCTGAATGTCCACAAGGTGACTGCTGTGCTTAGATGTTACTCCTGGGGCTCTCTCTGGCAGCACACAGTGCTGCAGCCCCATTAACAGCCACCCACTCTCAGGTGTCTTCTGTAGTGCCATTTGCTCACAGCACTGACAGTCCAATGGAAGTCCTACAGCCCACTCAGCACCTCTGTTTCTCTTTGGAGTGTGCAGCCTCAAGTGTTTCCACATTCACCACCTTGTCTGCAATGAGTGCTGTTTGTTGGGCATGGTTTGGATTCTGGACCATGTGGTTATTCCTGGCGATGATGTTGCCTTGGGGACACTGCTCAAGCTCCGCCTGCCATGACCCCACAGATGGCCCAGGGTCCAAGTCAGAGAGAAAGCAGAATTTTCAAACAGAGGGATGCCGGGGACCACTACCTTCTGTGGTTTTCTCCCTGCCAAGAGAGGCGGTGATGATGGCAGGGCAAAGTGACTGCCCGGACACTGAGTGGTGGGCTTGTATCTCCTCCATCTGTATGGTGCATAGTCTCTGCCGCCCTGGCATCACTCCTTGGCTTGTGTGTGAGAACACTAATGTTTACAGCGCTCTCTGCCATTAGCTTTCCAGTTAGAGAACTGAGGTTTCATAACGAGTTACCATTCTAACACTGTTCCATGCTAAGCTTTACAAGTTACCCAGACTTTCTATCTGTGTCTGAAAGGCCATCACATAAAGCCTTCCTTTCGGACAAGATCCTTCTAAGAACTGAGGCAGCTCTCCTCCTGGGAGGTCGACTCCTCCCAGGGGATGGTTTAGGCAGGTAGTGGTTAGAGCATGAGACTTGAATCAACTCAATCTGGATTCAGGTTTTGGCCCGCCTGTTTCCTAGAGCCATGACCCATTCATTACATATCAGTCTCCCCTTCTGTGGACAGGGGTGAATAACGGTATCTAACTCCACTGGCTCTGTGAGAGTGAAGGAAGCCAACGCCCTGGACACTAAGCGTGGTGCCTGGCATCCAACGCCTTCAGGAAGTGTCCACATTGCTGTCATCAGCAGGAACTGGAAACTGACCCTGAGTTTAACGCTGTGGATTCTCAGCACCTAAAATCTACCAAAAACTGGTAATGTGACTCTCTCTTGTACAATAAGGATGAACACAGACGTATACTGACCTTTGTTTGTTCTTAAAGTGTTTTGAGCTATGGAACAAAGACTGGGAAACAGCATCATAACTTGACCCGTGTGTGTCAATGCGTGAGTTGCACTAGCGTCAGAAATGGCACTGACCTCCCCAGCTCCTTCCCCTGGCATCGGCAGAACCCAGGCGGCTCAAACCTGAGCACTAACCTCGGGATGTGATCTGCATCTCTCTAAGGCTTTTCCATAGATCTTATTAGGGCTGGATGAAGAAAAAAGTTCTCTAAAAATCACGTAAAACAAGCCACCTGCAAATCACAGGAAAAGAAGATGAAGCAAAGCAGGACAATGACAAAACAGGAGACAAAAACATGCAGGGTGATTATACTTGCTGTTTTCCCACCTGTAATGCCGACTCCAATAAGCACCACCATGAAGTAGGTCAAATCTCTCCCAGCTTCCTTCACTGTAAAGAGCAAATGACAGTGAGTCCCCCACGGGCCAGGTATCACCTAGACTGCGCAGGCTCCAGTGTTCTCGGGAGAGGGAAGGGGCTCTAAGCGCAGGGGGCGGTGTTCTACTCATGCCAGGAGCAGCTGTTGAACCTTCCTGTGAATCACGGCCACCTGAAGACACTATCTGGAAGAACAAATTTCCAGGCCCCCTCAGCAGCATCCTGGGAGCAGAGCCCAGCACTCCATCTTTGTAAAACAACTTAGTTAAAAGTACTCTTTAGCATAACACAGTTCCTGAAGGTTTCAGTAGAGGTTCTTAACTTGAAAGATGGCATGTAACAAACTTCCGTAATTCATTGGATTGATCCGAACTGTAATTGTCGCCACAAAGCCGACCTCCTCAGCAGGTGCAGCTGAGGCCCACAATAAGAACATGTCAGCCCAGGCTTTCTTTACTAATGGCCAACGATAAACTGACTACACATGAGCTGCCAGTCGTGGGCCAAGGCCCAAGCTAAGAACAGTAACAGGGAGCCCCATTGTTCCGCTGTCTGAATCGGGCCCTGGATCCGAGTGCCCCTCCCTTTACGCCCTTTCCTGCCTTGCTCAGGGCATCTGGAGGCCCTGTCCTCTCCTCGTGCACCTCAAGCATTCACTGGACGTCCTCTTGTGTAAAGCCCTGCACCGACTATTATCCAGGCTCCACAGTTTTGAGGTCTGTGTTTAAGTGTTCCTTTACAGCCCTCTCCCGTTGCCTGCCTTCCTGGTCTTTTCAGACCTCCCACCTGCAGCTTACAGCCCTCACTCTTGCCCTGTTTCAGCCATCCTCTACCCTCCTGGGGTGGGTGCCGTGACGTGCCACCTAGCTTCCCAGCAGGGCTGGGGACTCACTCCTGGATGCCCTCCGGGAACTGGCTTCATCCAAGGCGGCCTTCTCACCAGGCTCAGGGCCCCATAAAATCTCAGTCTGACATTCAAGGCACATCTTACAGTGTTACCAAAATAACAAGTCCGAGGCACTTTTTTTGCCTCCTTATACTTAACTATTTTCTCTACAAATTACTTGTGAAACGAAATAAATACAAACTTCAGTTAAACATGCCTTCTCTCATTTGTGGAAACTTTTCTGACTTTCCCTAACAAAACTACAGTTTGTCCTTCCTATTTTACATGTGTTCTGCTATGTTTTGTGTCACACTGAGGACGAGGCTGTTTTGGACTTTTGCCATTCTGTAGTATAAAGGGTCTAACTCAGGATCTGGGGGTAACAATTATCACTCATTAAATGTTTACTAAGCTTAACCACAGAATGTTTCCCTGTTGATTTATGATTCATTAATTGATTTCCTATTTATTTATCCTATTACTCTTCATCATATTCTTTCTAGTACTCTTCCTGTGAGGTCTGGTGGCGCAATGGTAAGTGCTCAGCTGCTAACTGGAAGGTCAGTGGTTTGAACCTACCACCTGCTCCACAGGAGAAAAGCCTAGGTGATCAGCTCCTGTAGGATGCAGCCTAGGAAAGAAACCCTGAGCGATAGTTCTACTCAGTCCCGGGGTGTCACTGAGTTGGGCCTGATTCACCTGGCACTCAACAACAAAGTATGCAATCTTTGTAGCATCATTAATCTGCTTTTTCAAATGATTTGTTTCATGTTGTGTGTCTATTTTCTTCTCAATTGAGAAGTTATTTGTGTGTAGGATTCCTTTGGCAAACTAATTACCACTAGCCCCTAAGTACCAAGGATAAATAGTCTACAGAGGGTGTACAAAGTATAGAATAAATCGAGTATAGACAAATTTGTGAACAGCAATGTGACCTGGACATTAAGAAAACCAAGAGGAAAATTCCCGTTTAACGTTCGGTTGTGTGAGTTAGGGGGTGCGCCTCAAACTTAAAAAGGAAATATGCACCCAGAAAGAGACTCAGATGAGATTAAATAACATCTGAGAAATCCCCTGTAGCTATCAAGTATGAAACAATGGTTACATTGTATGCAACTAATACAAATTGAGAGAAAATATCTAGACACAGTGCAACCACGTTATATCAAATTCAAGATCAACTTCCACATCTGAGTTCGAATTTGCGAAGAAAATTGCAGGCCTATGTTCTGACACTAACTTGTACTTAAGGGTCAAGATCAACTTCCAAATCTGAGTTCGAATTTGCGAAGAAAATTGCAGGCCTATGTTCTGACACTAACTTGTACTTAAGGGTCAAGATCAACTTCCAAATCTGAGTTCGAATTTGCGAAGAAAATTGCAGGCCTATGTTCTGACACTAACTTGTACTTAAGGGTTCCAACTTCCAGTTCGCGTGACTTTTCCATTTTTAGCACTGAGCTCTGTGTGGAAAGGCTGGTGGCTTTTGCCATGTTTGTGGGTGGACTTCTGATCACTGGGGCTCTCTTGTTTACCTTTCTGTGACGTTGACACAACGGTTTCTCCTCTTTGACTTCTGTGCACAGACACTTGTTTGCTGCCGTCCTCCTTCGCTCTGCGGGGGGCCCGTTCCTGCGTCCAGATGGTTCGTGGGGTGACCCCACGGACAGCTCTAGGCCGCCCCCATCTCAAGCTGGACTCAGTTTTCAAGCTAGCTTTGTTCAGCACAAAGTGGGAGCCAAACGCTCGCGCCCCTGCGGACCTGTGCAGCTTTTCCGTATGCTGCACGGCTCGCAGAAGACCCCAAATCATGGTCACACAGAGCCGCTCCCCTTGGGGTGGAGGCAACTACAACCAGCAAAGCTTCACCGCCCGCTGCACACCCGCCAGACAAGAGCTGGCCCACACATCCGCACAGGGATCCCACCCGGCGTGTTCGACAAACACGTTCGCTCCAACAGCGCTGTTAGGACGGAAGCCCCCAGACAGATGAGGGTCCCTTCCCTTTCCTTCGACCCAATGTGAACTTAAGCTTAATTGCTCTGGTTTCCTTCTACGCTAACACGCCACCTCCCCCCGCCATGCCTTCGCACAGCACCTTGGGAACCCGTGTGGAATTCTGGGAACAGTAGTTCGAGGACACGCACAGTGGTCGCGGCGGGCGGCATAAAGGACTTCATCTCCCACAACGAACGGAAGACCTCGCACCGCCCCTTCCGACTCTCCCAGGCTCCCCCACGCGGGTCGTCGCGTCTGTGCACTGGGAGAGGCCGGAAGGCGGTGCTATGCGCCTGGGGTAGCTTCCACCGCTGTCCCACGGGGTTTAAACAGAACTATTAATGTTTTACAGAAAAGACAGGAGCAATTTCAGAGGGCATGATTTAAGGATTGGGGCCCTGCATGCCTTAAAGGCAGGGCATTGAGTCCTTGCGTTTTAGATACTCTAACGCGGAGGCCTCGTGGAAAATCCTCTGTGGGGATGCTCCTGGGATTGCAGCCCCGAGGCCTCTGAGTCCGCCCCATCAGTAACTCGCAGAGTTCCGTTGTGCTGGGGATCGACTGGACAGGCGAGTCTTCGAGAGAAGCTATCCCGGAAGTTTCTAGAACACTGCTGCGGGCGCACAGCCGGGCGGTGTCAGCTTCAGCTCCGCCCCCAGGCCTGCGCACGCGCGCGGGCAGCGTGGTCTCCATGGCGACCGGACGCGGCTGGGCACTGAGGCAACTCTTGCGCGGCCACGGGCCTCCAGCGGGCGCCGTCGGGCTCAGGTGACTGTCCGGACGCGGTGGGTGAGCGTTGGGCAGTCCCTCACCGCTGCGCCCGCCCGTGGTCCCCGTTGATTTGTAGGGTCCCCGCCCCGGCAGGGCGCGCGCGTCTCGCTTTAAAGCTGGGAAGTCTCCCACTCGGAAACGCTCGGTACCACAATATGTAGCTCCCAAAATGCCCTCTCACCCGTTTCCTCTCACAGTGCTGGGCGCAGTGGGCCAGGGCGAGGGCGGCTGAGAGTCACCTGTCCTCTTAGGTCACCGGCCTGGGGGGCGCGTACGGGAGCACACAGGTGCACAGCTCCAGTCTCCACCACCACGCGCCGGAGACGTCCCCTGAGTCGTCGGGCTCTGCGTTCGCCGTTCTAGGGCCGGAGCCCCCCTCTCGTCTCCTTATGACTTCACAACTCAGGGACCTGGAATGTGGTCGTGGAGAACTGGCGAGTGACGCTCTAGGTTTCCCCTTGGGCCCGGGACTCGGGCGTGGGCACGCGCCACCGCTAGGCAGCCAGCTTGGACCTCCTGGGCCTGCTCTGCCCAGTCTCCTCCCTCTGAGAGCGGGCCTGGGCCTGGGCCTGGGCCTGGGCCTGCCCTGCTCTGGGCCCGGAGAGAAAGGCACCTTGGAAGAGTGAGTGGGGAGGGAGGTGACAGGGGGCTGCGGCTGCTTTCTCAAGGGGTCAGAGAGTCAGAAAGACGCTTCTTCCCCTCACGGCATTGTCCTGACAGCCGTTTGCAGAGAAGTGACGTGAGCCAGGAGGCAGATGTGTGCAGCGTCCCTGGTCCTGAACCGCCCTACCCTGTAACTACACCTCTCTCCTTGACCCGCGGAGGGATAGTACCAAGAACAATTGGCTTACTTTTTTTGTTTTTTAGGAAATGAGGTAATTTTTCATTTTTTTCCTGATTCATTTCTCTCCAAGGTTTCCTCATTTTATTATGTACTATTAAGTTCTTAAAAATAGCATTTTTCTTGAAAATTTTTCTTGAAAATAGATTGTACAATGTCTCAAAACTTCTAATTTTTTTTCTTTAAAAAAAATAGCATTTTTCTTGAAAATAGACTGTACAGTGTCTCAAAACTGCTAAATTTTTTTTCTTTTGTACAGTGTTTACTTTTCTACGTTGTGTTTTTTTTTTTTTTTTCAGTTTGCATTCTTGACGGTTATCATGTTTCTGTTTGTACCCAAACCCACTACCGTGGACTGGATTCTGACTCATGGTGGCCCTACAGGACAGAGTAGAACGGTCCCGTAGGGTTTCCAAGGCTGTCAATCTTGATAGGAGCAGACTGCTCATCTTTTTTTCCCACAGAGCAGCTGGTGGGTTCAAATGGCTGACCTTTTGGTTAGCAGCTGCACCACTAGGGCCCCTCTTTTTTCCCCCTTTGAGAACCATTTATCAAAGACTCTTCTTCCCCTCATTGTCCTGACATCCTTGTTGAAAATCAACTGACCTCATGTAAGGGCTATTTCTGGACTCACAATTCCAGTCCATAATCTGTATGTCTATTCTTATGCTGGAAACACACTGTCTTCTTTACTGTTGTTTGACAGAAGATTTTGAATTTAGAAGTGTGAGTCTTCCAGTTTCCTTCTTTTTCAAGAGCTTTTTGGTGACTCTTGGCCCCTTGCAGTTTAGTATGAATTTTAGGATCAGCTCACCAATTGGAGAAGAAATCTTCCCAGCACCTTTTATTGTCAACAGAGCTGGCAGGTGTGACCCCACTGGCTGACCCTGGCCCACACACAGATTATGATAAGGAGCCTCAGCTTGATTACCGTCTGCAGGTCAGACTGATTTATCTTTGTTGAAAGAGACCCGGGATGGTTATGTTGCTGGTTGATCCTCCGAGTGAAGTTACCAAATGCAATGGAACAGTCTGGTCTGACAGAGTATTCATCTTCATTGCATAATAGTTCTGACATCTTCTGAAGATCTCTACGAAAGAGAAGGGCAGAACATTAGGGAAATTTTCAGTGCACAGCCTCCTGTACTTTCTTCTGGAGAACTACTAAAACTAATGTCTTACCAGCTTTTCCGTGCATATTGATCAGGAAGCTGACCAGGTGGCCTGGAGAGCACTGTGGAAGGCTTTCTGTGCTGCTGTGTGTTGTTCATCAGCAGAAGCAGAAAGTGGCAGCCTGTCTCTGACATGAGTGATTGAGGAGGCAGGTACTGCCCTAGATGTTCCAACTGTGAGCGTACTTTGTTTGTGTGTTCTCAGGAGTCTTATGCTCTGGACTGTAATTCCACAGGGCTTATTCCTCTCTTTGCCAAGTCCTCAGGACTGTTCCTTTTTGGTGCAAGTACCGCCCATGTCCTTTTGGGCTCTCAGTCCACATTGATCCTGGAGATCAACCTGGTCGGGAACACTGCAGGCCGTCCAACTCTGAATGAACCAATTTAAGTGTCAACTTGGTTCCAAGCAATGGCACTGGTGAACTAACTTCATGTCAGGGATTCTGTAGATTCTAGTCTCCACTTGAGTCGTGAGGGGTGGGATGTGGCTCAGGTCATTGATGTGTGTGTGTTGTCCATTGCTTCAAGAAGCAGCTTTCCGACCCTGGCAGGGGGAACAGGACATCTGGCAGGCATCCTGTGGGCTGTGGCCTGGAAGTGGGAAGCAATGAGTCATGTCCTTTGCTGTGTGCCTGTCATTTACTCGTTAGCACCTAACTAACACGAGAGCCTTGCCAGACAGGTGCTGCAGTTTTGAGAACTGGTTTCAAACTGTATTTTGGGAGCTTCTGAAAAGAATTTACTGCATCAAGTATGATCATGTTTCGTAGTATTTAAAAAGCAACTGAGGACAGATGCACCATTGTTTTATGTGTCACTAAAATAAAGGTTAAAAAAAGGACCAATCAAAATATGTTCCCTTGAAGGTGAGATGTTAAATGTGAAGCAATAAATAAAAAGAACTTGTGGTTCAGTGTTTGACCCCTCGGGAGACTGGGCAGGTGTGCGTTGTTTCCCTCAGAGACCGACTAGGTCCTAGATTTGCCCACAGCTCTGGTTCACAAATCTACAAGTAACAAAAAAAGGATACTATCTGTGTTAGGTTTCTGTTGTTGGGTCATTGAAACTGGCCAGTCAATCTGTGTCTCGTTACTCTTCTTTGTTTCCATTAAATACATTTTCAAGCAGCTCTGATATGGTGGCTGCCTGTACTGAGTGTGGGTGTTAGACCTGAGGGGGTTGCTCCTCAGAGGAAACTGCAGTCTTTAGGCAGCTTGTCAGGACACTGCGACGTATTCCCTCCCTCCTTCCTTTCCTTCTTCTTTCCCTCTCCCTCCTCCTTTTGTCCTCCCTCCCTTTCTTTTAAGCAGAAATGAACTTTCACGGTGAGTAATCTTAGATGTTGATGGAGTTTGCAGAAGGGAACAGAGTTTCTCATTGGGAAGTTAGGTAATTGAGTCTTTCATGTTGCTTTCCAGGAAGGGGCCAGGCATCAGGCCCACTGCAGACCCACTGAGGCACCATGCCAGCTGCCAAGGGTGCTGTCAGGACGGTGCTGTGTCCCTGGATGGGTGAGTAGACATGGTTGGCCATGCTTGGGGGCTCCTGGAGTGGGACCTTCAGGGCAGGTTATGATGCTGCATCTACTGGTTACTGTTTAGGGCTCTCTCAGAATAGAATGGTGGGAGATGAGTGTGCACAAGAGTTTGATGTGTGAGTCATCGCCTGTCAGCACCATCGTTATCAGACTAGTTTTCTGGAACTCAACTTCTCAAAGTGACAACTGAATTTAATTTTCCTTTTATTAAAGTGTGTTCCACATTTCTTCCTTTCCCAGTTGATGAAGGCCCTTGAGAGGGAGAGAGGTTAGAGCACACTCCCTTGATAGCCCCAATGCTTTCTGAATTCCTTCGTTTCTGGTATTTTGGGAGTCTTTTCTGCCATGGCAAGTCTGTGCCGGGACCCTCTGTGCCAAGACCAGAGGAATCTCCATTAACTGATGGTTGCACTGGTTAAGTGGTTGGTTCATAACTAAAAGGTCAGCAGTTTGATCCCACCAGCTGCTCCATGGGAGGAAGATCTGACAATCT